CGCCCCGGCCAGGCGAAGGCACCTGCTGGGCCGCCATCGCAGGGCAGGATCCCGCCGGAGCTGCTGCCGCGCGTCGCCTGCGGAAAGACGGCGGCACCAGTTTGCTCTTGCGAGACACCCAGTTCACAAAATACCATCGGCTAGGGCGCAGGGCGATATATATATACATTTTCAAATACTTATATTTTATATATATATAGGTGTGTGTGAAAGAGAGATTATTTAACCCGCTGTGTACCTCTTCCACCCGTAAAGGGGACATCCCCCCTGAAGGACCGGGCAGCGAGGAGGCAGAGACCGGGAGCGTGGGACGGGGCTCGCCGGCAGGCGCCACGATCCCCCCCCCCCCCCCCTGCGCCCCCGTTGCCAACCAACTGCTCCCAACCGCCCGTTCTTGGGGGAAGCTGCGGCAAAGGGTGGCTGTGAATTTCTCCGTGGCTCGGTCACAGGGCAGAGATTGCCTGCGACAGGTAAATAGGCTGCGGGTCGCAGTGATGCCAAGAGTATTTTCAGTTAATAGGGGAGGGAAAATGAGGTGTCTGGAGCGATATTGGAAAGTACAAGATCGATGATCCGTCCTCGTGTCCAATCAGCAGCCTTTAATTGACTGTATTTTCTAGGTAATTGAGCCGCTGTGCTCCTAAATTGAAGTGGAAGATATAACAATACATCTCACTGGGAGGAATTACTCATTACTTCATAATGAAATTTTCCTTTTGCTGCGTGGGGCCGGTGTCGTTAACGCCTTCGCCGCCGGTGGGGGTGCCCGCGGTCCCACGAGGGGTGCCAGCTCCGGGCACGCGTGAGGCATCGCCGGCGGCGGGGGCAGACACAGGGCACCCAGCCACTGCCACCAGGCAGGCAGGTTTTCCTTGCCTCGCCCTGGTCGGGGATGAAACCCTTCGAGGAATTAGGGTGAGGCCCGGACCGGGGTCCCGCGGGGAATTGTCCCCGGGGAGCCGGCGGTGGACACTCGCCCCCGTGTCACCAGCGGGCGCGGGGTTGTCTTCGCGGTACCCCATGTGTCGCAGCGGCTCCGCTCCCCAACCAGCCAAATTCAGCTCCGAAAGGCCTCCCCCGCCTTGTTAGCGTTTGATTGATTGCCTTATTAAAGCGTGTTCTTGTAAGTGTGACCGAGCTGATTGCACTGCATATGTTTGGGATAATGCTCATTTTAAACAACTGAATAATAATAATACTAATAAAAAAAAGGACCAGAAGAGGAAGAAGATGAGCTCTAGAGAACGGGTTAAGCCTAAACGATCCCGGGGAGCAGTGCTGTAACTCGCGCATTAAATTGCTCCGTTACTATCAAATCACTCAGCCCTTTTCGGCTCTACTCAGACCATCATTGTTGTGTTTTATGTGTCACCCCCTGTACCATTAAGTGAGATAGCACCGAGACCGCCGCTTACTTTCCTGTCTCAGGCTATATGTTTTTATTAAGGTTGTATGATTAATCTGGATCGGATCTGCTTTCCTAGCACTATTCTTTACTCCAGCGCCCAAATCATTAGAAAATCGGCTCTCCATATTTCACGTTTTCTGCTCGGTTGTTAGGTCGTTTGCCGGCACCTGCAGAAAGGCATGCGGCTCCTTTAGCTTCTGGCTTGTATATCTGAAGGATCCTTTTGTTTTCTATTATTCTCCTGCTCGCCTGGCTACTTTATTTTGCTACTGAGTTTAGCCCCTGAAAACACCCCCCACCATATGTCACCCCAAGGCCCGCTGTCCTGCCGCTTACAATAGTGTCACCCTGGGGTAAAGCCAACGTCAGGATGAGCTGGAGTCTCGTTAAAAACAAATGGCTTCATTTAGGCGCATCAGGTTCCTGGGTGAGCGTCAAGGGGGAGGGAAAGCAGTCCCACGTCCTTTGCTGCATCTTTCACCCCGGACCCCCCCCTTTTTTTTTTTTTTTTTGCCTGCTCCCTCCAGATCTTCTCGCTACTCCTTTTATAAGGCGGGAGGGTCCCGTTCCCCCTCCGCACCCGCGGATGGGCTGAACGGGGAGAGCTGGTACCGGGAAGGGGATGCGGTTAGGGTCGATTAGGGTAGGTGCCCCCCGGCCATGGTCCCTGTCTTTGGAAAGTTTTTCTTCTCTTTCTGCCTCTCTCTTTTAAGCAGAGGGAGGAAGAGATGGCTAGTTGAGGGTCTTCAAACAAGACAAGAAATAAATCACAACATCTTGCCTCCAATTCACCGTTTGGGGTTTTTTTTGTGTGTGTGTGTTTTTGTTTTAATCAATTAAACTGAGTGTACCTACAACCAAGAACGTAGCGCAGGTTTACACGAATATTTACAAGCCCCATTTTAAAGAATCGCGCACGTATTGCATGCACATATACACACAAAGCAAACACACAAAGTGATTTTCCCTGCTGCCCTCTCTGCAAAGAAGTGCCTGGGACTTTAGAGACAGAAATTGCCACTTAAGAACATCACATGAAAGTATTAAGTAATTATTTAAAACAAGGCTGTTTAGAAAAATATTTGTATTTATTGCAGCTGCTCGATTGGCCTCGTTAAATCTGGGGAGCATTTAAATTGTGTTACAGTCTCATTTAAATCCAGTTTCGTTCCAGCAGGCTGCAAAGCCTGAATAGAACCAATCACTCCATAATGATGATGAATGAGAAATTAATTCAGATACAAGCAAGACAATTTAGGCCTTCATCTGTTTAAATAGCCTTCCAAGATTATTCGCAATTGCAGGTCACAGATTTAATCAATTGTCCAATCTTGTGAAAGTCATATCCTTGCATCTTCATCGGGATTATTTATAGCGCGGCGCAGCCCAGTGAAAGGTATACGCTCTTAACAGGAACAATTACTTAAAGGGAAGCGTTTGCAAAATGAAAAACAAATGCCTCCGTGGGTAGTAAATGATCAAACGCCTCCTCACTCTCCCGGCACATCCTCCCCCGGCTTGAGGAAGGGAGCGGAGCTGCAGGTGGGGTGTAAAGGGGACCATTGC